AAGAAGCGGAGTCGCCTAGGTGCGGACGTTAGCGAGGCATGCCAGGTGACGAAGCGCTGCATCGATGTCGCCAAAGAGATTGAGAACGAAGAGGCCGACAACTCTACACGAACAGATATTGAGCTGGTGGTTGAGGTTGTATAAACATTTTGTCACACATTCCGACTCTGTGCCTACATGTATCTATGACTCAACGGACGCTTACGCGTGTGCTTTGGTCGAGAAGTCAATCTACCATTCGGCAAACCGCGGGCGGATCCTCAGAGCTCGGTTGTATTGCAGAAGCGACGCATATCTATGTCTAGTCTGGACAATGTTGATCAGCTTATCTTTGACAAGGCCACCGGCTTAGCCACTAAGAAATCTGCACGTCTTGCTATACCATGAACAACTCACTTGGTGGTATGGTGTCTTCTCGTGTTCACAGTCTTACAACTTGTTTACGTTGGTCGCAATTTGGGGGAATATTATCAGGAATATATTTGACAATAATTTGTTTTGTGTCGCAGGTGTCAAGTAAATAGCATGCTATCTTAGCATGTAGCCTAGCCTAGCCTAGCCCGGTCTTTTCAAATGCTAATGCTATCCTTGCATAGCCCATGTATTTTTAAATGCTAGGCTAATGCTACTGTAGCCCGGGCTAATGCTAGGCTATTGCCATCACTGCTGGTAACAGGGGGGGGGTCACACGAGATAGGCATGGTGTGACGACACCCAAACAAGAATACGGTATGTGGCTAGGTAGCCAGTAGTTATGCATGTATTTAGATTTTACTACATTTATTTAGGAAAATCTAAACATTTAAAATTAGGCGGCTTTGCCGCAGATAAAAATAAATAAAAATCAGTTTTGAATTTGAACCAAAGAGTTTATTAGCCTTGATTAAGGTACTGACTACTCTTGGAGGTAGCGGATTGCGATCCGCTACACTCGTGTTTGTTCTTGTTAAAAACGAAAGGTCGGTGACCTAAGTTACGCTTCCTCAAGCGCTAAGCTACGGCAGCTCCGCTGCACTTGGTAGCACTTGTAGTAAATCTACACCTGAGTCGTGTAGACTGATCATCTGTGAGGATGGAGGAATCTTCCTCTTTGTCCCAGGGCATGCAGGACGGGCTTAACAAGCTGATGTCCTTGCTTGGCCCTGAGGGCGTGCAATATTTTGTAGCACAAGGCCCC